TAATATGGAAAAAGAAATCTGATACTAAGCTGGCACACAGAAGATGTGAAAGATTTAAATAGAAAAGTTCATGTGAAGACTGTCAATAAGCTCTATATTTAGGAGTTGCTCTTGATGGAAGAATATTCCAAGACCAAAAATTCAAGTCTGAGAATAAAAAAGGTCAATTTGTTAAGAATTAAAAGACTAAATGTTCCACTCCATAAACCAGGAACAGCTCCTTAATATAGAAAAAAATTAAACAGCCCATTTTTTCAGGGAACTACATTAGAATATTTTAAAAAAACTTGAGGCTTCTTTACCTATTATAGGTTCTGCATTTCTCAAAGATTGCAATTTCACTGAAGTTTTGTCTACTTTATGGTGTGCCCTGCTGAGATTATACATAAGGGTTAAACCTAAATTCCTCACAGAACATCATCTTTCTTTTGGATGAATAATGAGGATCTCTCAAGGAAAAACTCAACCCAGAAGACCATAGTTGCAAGGGATGTTGAATACAAGAGGTATAGGATGGGGGAACTACAGAAGAGGAAATAACAATGAATCATCAGGGATACAAAAAACTGCAAGTCTGAGACAGAAAACTGTAATTTTACTTACAAATATCTATTAAAGCTGCAGTAAAAGTAAACCATTTTTGAAGGACATTTTCCTTTAAGGAGCAAAAGCAACTTAGTGTGAGAAGAATTCCTCCCAGCTGTTTTTTAACTCCACTTATTTTTGACACTCTGAAGCACACACTATATGACTCAAAACACTGGAAGTTTAAGGTCTGAACTGACCCCAACAGACTTAATAATGTTAAAATATTACCATAAGCAAGCTTATTAGGCCTTCCTGTCTCATTTCCACAAAAGCTTAGCTTGAACACAGCACCTGGTTTTCAGTCAAATCCAAGCTCTCTCAAGGGTTCAAGAAAATACTATTGTTAACACCTATTTTGAGACCCCATATTTGAATGCTCAAACTACACAGTAGAAGGTCTTCTTAGAAAAAGTCTTGTTCTGGTATGCTTCACCACTGTACATTCTCAGCCCCACAGAGGCAGTTATATCCATCCCTAGCCTACGGATGAAAGATTTCTGGACCACTTTCCAGTTCCGCTGTTAAGGACCACAGTTTTCTCCATGAGGAGACAATGTAATTTGGAAGCAAATACTAGTAATTCCTTTTCATGTATTTCTTCTCTGAGCGCAATATAGGAAATAAACCTGCAGTGACATGCATCTTCCTAAATGGATATTTGCTACTGAGATCACAGAAAGGCATCAGGAAATGTTTATTCATTCCAGCTGCACTTGACATGTTTGGTACACGGGAGGAAAAAAACTGTATATTTGCTTTACAACCTGACAGACCATATTAACTGCTACATCAAAGAAAAAAGTTCTATGTTTGCTATTCACTATTTTCCACCTGTAGTTTTATATGGTTCTTCAACCAAAACATGACAGAAAAAAGCATGTATACTTGTACTGTAATGAGTCAGAGCAGGTTCCAAGGTCAAGCTGCATCACTTTTTCAAAAATGAATGTAACTGCATGTGCTACTGCTGCCTTTTTAAAAGACTTGCTATTGAGACAAAATTACCACTTCTTAAGACATCAAAAATAACACTTCCTCTCCCAGATTTCTTTAAACTCACTCTCAGAATTGCCCATGAAGGGATAAAATCCTGCTGTTAAGCAGCATGTTATTTTGGTTGCAGATTTTTCAAAGGATTTGTATTATGTAAACTAAAACAAAATTAAAAGATTGGGGGGAAAAAAAAAGGGGGGGGGCAAGCAACTTCAATTTCTAACACATTTAACAAGCTTTTTTTTTCTTTTTGTTTAAATACAGTCACTGGGTCTTCATTGTTTCTTATTTGGCTTTTAAATAATACAGTAATAATAATACAGATACTCTCCTGAATAACACACACATAGGAAACCTGCGTACTTGACTGAAGAACACATTACTAATTTACGTGATGTATCCTGCCATCAGTCGGGTTTTACTGAGCTTTTATCTGAAAAACGACAGGTATCATCACACAGACAAATAAGCTGTATGTTAATGACAACGCGCAGTCTTGCCTTTCCTCCTCTCAACCTCACTCCCCGAACAAAACCTCCAAAGTGAAGAGTACCTACTGTCTGGGACCGTTACCTACTAGTTACAGATGTATTTCTTCTCCTAGCAGTGATACAAGATGTAGCCAAAAATCAAGGAGTTTTGTTAATACACAGCAGTAGTACAATTAGCTCCAGAAACACATACTTTTAAGATAATCTGTCTACAGGCTTTCACACAACACAACTAGGAAAAGCGTGTTACACAATCTGATCTGGCCATTTCACTGGCAAACAAACAACAGCCCCTAGATAAAAGGAAAAGAAACCCACAACACTATCTACCCAAGAAGGTACTTTAAGGTGGTTGGGTAATTTCTATTTTGCCTCTGAACCTCTCTCCTTCCAGTAAAGCGGATGCAAGTATTTTAGGGCAGTCTGACAAACCTACTGGGGAGTTTTTAGAAGTCTTACCCTTATTTCAGAATATTTTTCTTAAAAAGCGATGAAACCAGACAGTAACTGTAAACAAGATTAAATATTTTACAGCAGCATAACACCCGACTACTACTTTATCTACAAAACGCTACTTTTTGTCCCAACATGGGCTTCAAACACGTCATTTAACCACTGATTTGAAGATATCTGGAAAAGCAGAAAGTCTTAATCTAACTGCATGAGTGTATGCTGAGCACCCTTAGGCATCAATATAATGACTGTCCTCTCCTTTTTCAGCCCCTCCCTGGAAATGCTGGCTACTGCTCTGTAGATGATAGTATGCTGGCAGCATCACAACTATTACCGAATTCCACATTGGCTTTAAAGAATGAAGCAAAGCTGCATCTTCCCAGGACATACGTAATTAGAACAAGAAGTCATACAAAACAATACATTTGGAGGGAGCAATTTACACTTGTTTTCTAAAAGATTTTTTTGGTTTGGGGGACAATGGAGGTTCAAGAGAAGAGGGGAGAAAGGGTACTTCAAGCAGATGAGGAGAAATTGCCCTACACCCATAGCTACATTCAGGACGAATCTAACATCACAAACCCAAGGGAGAAAAACACACAGAAGGGTGCTGCCTGACTTTCTGCTAACTGGCCAGTTGGGATATTGTAATTCATAAAGGTGCATTTTGCCCACAATTTAGGTTCTGAAGCAGGCTTAGAGGGCAAGTCTTAAGTTTAAATCATAAGCATAAAAACAAATGTGATTTTCCTTTAAGAATTTAAGGCAATTTGAACTACTACAAAACTCTGCATAACTGAAAAAAATCCCTCTGATCATTCACTGGCCTCAAATTTCCAAGTATCTGAGCTGCCGATGCTATACAAAATTTCTGGTAGAAGTAAAAAGGCATAAAACCACACTCACAAAACTGTATGACTTAATCATACAGAGTTAAAAACTTAATATTAACAGCTCCAGCACAGAATGTAAACTTGGACATTTTGCAGATTTAAACTGGAATTACTCCCTGCATAAAATATGTACGTTTAACTGTTTGCTGGATCAGGACTCAAACTTTCTGAAGTCTGCCACCTATGTGTGACATTCACCAAGTGCTTTTACAAGGTCTCAAGTATGGTTTTAGAAAAAAGATCTCTGAATAAAATACACTGCCTAGTGAATGTGAACAGCATGTGAGTAGCATAAACGAAATCTTGGTTTCAAATTATTCCGGTTATAAATCCCTCAAATCAAATCAGTGTACCGAGACACAACTTCACAGAGAAAAAAAAAAAAAGCACAAAACAAGCAGCAAGAACAGTCCTGCTGTGGTTAAAAGTAACACCCCAAGCCGCTGCAATAAACATGCTAAAAAACTCTCCGTTACTCTCCTGCCCGAGCTCATTTGTGTTTAATCACATTTCTGCCAATAGCTAGTGTCTTGGTTAGCGTGCATCTGCCACTCAAAAGCAGGGAGAAAAATGGTCTGGAAATACGACAGACATGACTAAAAATCAAACAGAAAAAAAAGTACTTAATATCTAGGAATATTTTTAAGTTTGCTGTATTTCACTCAGGTTTTGGATATTTGCTGCAAATCGCCAGAGGTTTTTTCCACCGTCACATGATGCAGCTTCAAAAACCTTAAGACTTTAACACTAGTGGAAATAAACCTAATACGCTGGGCTCACGTTAAGATAACATCTCCCCCTTATTTTTCAGGTCTATCTCAAGCACTTGAACAAGTTTACGTTCTCTACCCGATAGCTGCTTTTGTAATTCTTAAAAGAAAAAATACGCAGAAACCTATTCTGATGTTCAAAGGTGTGCGAAGGTTGCAATTACCTTTCGTTTGATTGTCGCAATCTAACGACCTGAGTCTTCTCAGATTTTTAGCTCCAGTACAAAGGATAAAACCTCCACTACTTATTTTATCGGCAGCAACGCCAGCACCTACAGTTTTCATTCACTTGCGAGCGCTCGCATACAGCACTAGGCAGGAGAAGGTCTCTGAGGCACCTCCTGAGCACTGAAACAAGACAGGCAAAACCTCGTTCAAACACGCTCCAAAAAGCGATGGGAAAGAACAAATCAGCCAAACGCAGACCCTCTCCGGTAACTCACTCGGGTTTTTATGCCACAGGCACAGAGTTCCTCTTTGCAAAACCCCCCCGTGGGAGGAGCTACCGCTCCTAGGTTTTAGCGCTTCCCAACTCAGTTTACCGTCTGCTTTTTCGGAATAAGCCCTCAGGAAGCACGCCCGCCTTCCCAACGTTTACTCCTGAACTACCCAGGAGGGGCACGGCGAGTGTTTACACGGGCGGAGGGCGCGAGCCGCCCGCAGGCAGCCCTACTCCCGCAAGCTCCCTACCCGGGAAGGGCCGGGAGCGGAGGAGGACGCGGCTGAAGGGCAGAGGGTTCCGGGGGCAGGCCAGGGCGGGCAGCGCGGCACCTGTAGCCGGAGGGCAGGAGGGAGAGGGCGACAGACGGTACCTTTGAGCTGGGGCAGCGGCGAGAGCT